AAATAACCAATCCAACTATACATAAACAGGGTAAAAATGCAGACTTAAGCATTTAAATCTTGCAACTAACAGTTCTACAATAGGTGGCACGACTCGCACCGTCACAAGTTTAACAGGGAGACATTGGTGATTATATGTTTTTAATGGTTTTTTTGTATGGATTTTTATAATGTGCTAAATGTTTTTTAATTATATTTTATGACTGTTCTGGCATACCAATTTGTAAGCCACCTTGATCTGCCTTCGGGCTGAGAAAGGCAGGATAGCAATATCATAAATAAATAAATAAATAAATAAATTTTAAGTAGCCAGTGGTCCAGTACAAAAGTCAGGACACACACTTGACTAGATTCACAGGATGGGAAGAGCTGGTCTAGAAACTGTAGGAATCAAAATGACTCATTGTCATATTCAGGCGTATTATCTGGCAAAATGGGCTTTAGATGCTTGGATGCTCTCCACAAAGGTTTTTCATCCAGCTTGTAAACTTCTTGATTGTTTGAAATAGCTGAATTGAGTGGTCTTGTTGAGATTGTTCCTGAAGAAATCTTCAGTAAATGGCTGGCCTCAAATTTACTTAATGTTTTCCTGTAAAGTTTGCTTTTCAAGCAATGTTCACTTTTTCTGCTTCCAAGTTTGGTGGAAAGTCCAGCTGTTCCCTTCTCTTCCCCATCGCCTGAGAAAGCTGTCATGCTGAGACTATGAAAGTAAAAAAATACTTGCTTTGTTTGGATGTCTCTAAGGCTCTAGAGGCTACAAAGAGAGGAAGTGAATTAGTCATGCTCAAGCTTCTTAAGACCAGGACAGTTGCAGCTTTAAGGAATGTTAACACCCCTTGACTGTTGGTCTGATGTTTTGATAGTTACCATGTGTTAGAAGAGTTTCTCCTTGTCTCTGCTGTAGGAGGGAGGGAGGGATAATCACTTCTTATCTGAAATATTCGCATACATACATGTATATGCCAATGTACTTTTCTTTTTGTACAGTTAGGTTGTGTTAATACAAGGCTGTGTTGGTGGCAGATCTACAGATCAAGTCTTAGATGTGAAAAGTTTAATATGAGACAATATATACACCATTAAAGCCAATGAATGTGTTTATGGTAGTCTAAATGAAAATATACTGTATTTGTGCATTAAAGTATTTTATCTAGATTATATGTAGGTTGTTCATTCGTTCAGTTGCTTCTGACTCTTCATGATCTTATGAACCAGCCCACACCAGAATTCCCTGTTGGCCGTCACCCCCCCCGCTCCTTCAAGGTCAAGTCAGTCATTTCAAGGATGTCATCCATCCATCTTGACCTTAGTCGGCCCCACTTCCCTTTTTCCTTCCATTTCCCCACAGCTTCATTGTCTTCTCTAAACTTTCCTGTCATCTCATGATGTGGCCTGGGAGTCACTCTGGACCGTGCTCTGACCTACAAGAAGCACTGCCTGAACATCAAGCAAAAAGTGGGTGCAGAAACAATATCATACGAAAGCTGACTGGCACAACCTGGGGATCACAACCAGATACAGTGAAGACATCTGCCGTGCTACTCTGCTGCTGAGTATGCATGCCCAGTGTGGAACACATCTCGCCACACTAAAACAGTGGATGTGGCTCTTAATGAGACATGCCGCATTATCATGGGGTGCCTGCGCCCTACACCACTGGAGAAATTACACTGCTTAGCCGGTATTGCACCACCTGACATCCGCTGGGAAGTAGCAGCCAATAGTGAAAGGACCAAGGCAGAGACATCTCCAGCCCATCCCCTGTTTTGGTATCAGCCAGCACGTCAACGACTTAAATCTAGAAATAGTTTTCTAAGATCTACAGAGACACTCGCTGGAACACCTCAGCAAGCGAGAGTCCAAAAGTGGCAGGCTCAAACCCAGAACCTCAATCAATGGCTGATACCAAATGAGAGACTCCCTCCTGGGCACACAGAAGACTGGGCGACTTGGAAGGCGCTGAACAGACTGCGCTCTGGCACCACGAGATGCAGAGCCAACCTTAAGAAATGGGGCTACAAAGTGGAATCCTCGACATGCGAGTGTGGAGAAGAGCAAACCACTGACCACCTGCTGCAATGCAACCTGAGCCCTGCCATATGCACAATGGAGGACCTTCTTGCAGCAACACCAGAAGCACTCCAAGTGGCCAGATACTGGTCAAAGGACATTTAATCAACTACCAAACTCACAAATTTTGTATTTTGTCTGTTTGTTTGCTTTGTTTCTGTTAGAAATGTAATATAATTGACTGGTTGCCCTGACATGACAAATAAATAAATAAATAAATGAATGAATGAATGAATGAATGAATGAATGAATGAATGAATGATGTGGCCAAAATTCTTCATCTTTGCCTCTAATATCCTTCCCTCCAATGAGCAGTCGGGCTTTATTTCCTGAAGTATGGACTGGTTGGATCTTCTCGCGGTCCAAGGCACTCTCAGAACTTTCCTTCAACACCACAATTCAAAAGCATCTATCTTCAGCCTTCCCTATGGTCCAGCTCTCACATCCATAGGTGACTACGGGGAATACCATTGCTTTAACTATGCAGATCTTTGTTGTCAGTGTGATATCTCTACTCTTCAGTATTTTATCGAGATTGGTGATTGCTCTCCTCCCAAGAAGTAAGTGTCTTCTGATTTCTTGGCTGCAGTCTGCATCTGCAGTAATCTTTGCACCTAGAAATACAAAGTCTGTCACTGCCTCCACGTTTTCTCCCTCTATTTGCCAGTTATCATTCTTGCTGCCATAATCTTGGGTTTTTTATGTTTAGCTGCAACCCAGCTTTTGTAATTTCTTCTTTCACCTTGATTAGAAGGCTCCTCAGCTCCTCCTCACTTTCAATTGTATCCAAGCACTGCTTTAGCGACTTTCTAGGCTACTCAATTTATTTGGTGTTCCTCTTTTCCGCAGTAGTAGATCTGGTGGTCATCTGATGTGAAGTGGCTCATTCCAGTCCATTTCAGTTTGCTCCACCTTTGAGCTAGCTGTGTCATCACATTTATGGCTAGTTGAACTTATCCTCTGCTCCTCCCCAGTAGCATTTTGACCACCTTCCGACCTGGGAGTCCCATCTTCTGATGGCATACCGACATATCTCTGGTTGTACTGGTCCATTTAGTTTTCTTCGCAAGAATTCTGGGGTGTTTTGCCATTGCCGTCCCCAGGGATCGTGCTTGGTCTGACCTCTCTGCCACGACCGTCCCATCTTGAGTGTCCCTTCACGGTTCCGCTTGTGACATCATTGAAGTGCTCAAGCTCCAGTGCCATGACAAGGCAGCGATCCTTTGCTGGAGGATTATATGTATATCTTACCATATTTAAAAGATGTTCATAAATATTTTATAATAAAATATGAGATGTTCAGATATGAAGCTTCAGTTTCATTGACAAATACAGTTACAAATACAATCAAAGCACTCCCAACAGATGGCCATCCAGTCTCTGTTTAAAAGCCTCCAGAGAAGGAGACTCCACTATTCCACTGCCGAATAGAGCTTATCCACAGGAAATTCGTCCTAATATTTAGTTGAAATTGCTTTTCCTGCAATTTGAACCCATTGTTCTGTGTTTAGTCTTCAAAGCAGCAGAAAACAACCTGTCCCCTCTTCAATGTGGCATCCTTTCAAATAGTTAAACATGGCTATCGTGTCTCCTCTCACCCTTTTCCCACCACCAAGTTTGGCTTCCAAAGCTTTGATTATTTTGGTCGCCATTCTGTGGACACGTTCTAGACAAGAAATGCTCAAAGAGAAGAGAGTTCATTATTATTATTATTATTATTATTATTATTATTATTATTACATTATGCTGACACAAAACCACAGTATGTCACAGCAAACGCGATCTATATGCTGGATTTCATATCACAAAATCACAAGTCAAACACTTCCCAAGCGTCTAGGACTGTGTGATTTATTATTATTGTGCTGGTACAGCTGTACCAGAAGCTCCCACTTTATTTGCCTTGTATTAAGTGTTTGCTTGCAGCCCGAGGCTTGGGATTCTGCAGAAGGGTGGCTTCCTGTTAAAGTTTGCAGTTATAGGGCAGGCCCCATGTCCATCACCGTTAAGTTTGGTTCCGCCCCCTGTTCAGGACAATTGTGAAGGGAAGGGAGCCATTTTCAGTTAGTCTCAGCAAGGAAAGTCAATGTACAGGACGTGTACAGACTTTCTCCTGTACAAAGGCTTCAACCCTTAAGACCTCCCGGGGGAGAACAGTCTTAAGAGCATCTAAAGATTCCCAAAGGTTCCCAGGGAAACAGCCTTACAGCCCCGAGGAATTTTGGAGGGAATAACAGCTTTAAACATCAAGAACTCCAGCTAAGTGACTACAGGCCTAAGTCCACTCGGTTTTGAGACACAGTTCAGCCCGGTAGTGGATCCACATCAGTTAGGTTTAGGATCACAGTTAGCCTGGGAGAAGTTTGGAAAGAGATTTTCCTTTAGAGTAAAAGTAATAGTTAGAAGCCACCAGTTGCACAAAGCCTGGAAGCATTTGCTTATCCTTTTGGAAACAAAATAAGTTTCTCCTGATTGTTCACCAATAAAAGACTTTGTTATATTTTACAAGCCCTCTAGAGACTGTTTATGGTGAAAATCCTTACGAATTTCTCTTTGGGCCCCCTGGCTTCCCGCTGGGCTAAAGTTGCACGTCCTGTTTTAAAAGCAATTAATTACAGGCCCAGCGGCGACAGAACAATTATTATTATTATTATTATTATTATTATTATTATTATTATTATTTGCAATGTTAAATGTCAAAATACATCTTTCCATCCATATCTAATCTAAATCATCTAATTAGAGAACTAGTCTTACTGATCTCAAGCACAGATATTTTAGAATGAGGTTTCCATGAATTAGTAAAACTGATTTTATTCTTCAAATCATCAGATAAATATTGGATTTTGCAGTGCCAATTTTGATCCTTTTTTGTCAAAATATCAACAGCAGACATTTTCACGCCATGGTAATATTTTTATTCTGTTTCAGCTTCTAAACAATTTTCAGATGAAGTTTTGAAGGCCCACAATGACTACAGGAAGAAGCATGGCGTTCCTTCTTTAAAACTCTGCAAAAAGTTAAGCAGGGAAGCACAGCAGTGAGTACATCTATTTCTTTAGTTCTTATTGCAGTACTTAGGTTGAATAGTCCACTCTCATGGATCTATTTCATAGAATCATAGAATCAAAGAGTTGGAAGAGACCTCATGGGCCATCCAGTCCAACCCCCTGCCAAGAAGCAGGAATATTGCATTCAAATCACCCCTGACAGATGGCCATCCAGCCCCTGTTTAAAAGCTTCCAAAGAAGGAGCCTCCACCACACTCCGGGGCAGAGAGTTCCACTGCTGAACGGCTCTCACAGTCAGGAAGTTCTTCCTCATGTTCAGATGGAATCTCCTCTCTTGTAGTTTGAAGCCATTGTTCCGCGTCCTAGTCTCCAGGGAAGCAGAAAACAAGCTTGCTCCCTCCTCCCTCCCTCCTCCCTATTTCTTCAAATAGCAAGTGACATGCCTTTAAAGTTGATTTCCAAATCACCATACTGATTGGGGTTTTTTTGCAGTCGTACCATTGCTTTTTAGAGGAGTAATGACCTTTTGAGAAGGTAACTTCTATCAAAATACTTCTGGATAGAGGCAAAAAAATCTGCTTTTAGGGTAATATGAATTGTTGATACTCCATTAGAATATCCAAGTTATATTACTAACAGTTGCAGCTTGTCCGACCAGTAAATGCTGTAGTTAAGGAATCATATATTTGAGTACTTAAGTCCAAACTCTGGAGTTGGTGCTGGAGTACATGGACAGACTGTAGGGATATTCGAGATCTATAGTCGAGTGCAGTTCTAAGGAAACGGTTCAGCCAAGGAAATAACTCTTTCCCTTTATATTCTGGGATCAAGGGAGAGAAAATCAAGCAGGGTTGAAAGAGGGACCAGAGACCTTGATTAGGCTGCACTGTTATAATTGATATAGTTGGCTGAAAGACTACTGCACAATTCATCCTTTTTTATTTTTTACAAAATTCTTTATGTGTTTGGCATACCATATCTACTCTGATGCTCACCTTTTTTTGTCTAAATTACATCACCAAAATTGAGGTGGACATTAGATCTGATGTGCATTGGAATCGCCTGGAGGGACCCAGAGTCCCAGGGGCTGGATGACACATTATCTATATAAATAAAAATGTAATGTTCGTTTGTGGGATWAACATAACTCAAAAACCACTGGACGATTTGCCACCAAATTTGGCCACAAGACACCTACTAACCCAAAGAGTGACCATCACTCAAAAAATTGATTTTGTCATTTGGGAGTTGTAATTGCTGGGATMTATAGTTKACCTACAATCAAAGAACATTCTGAACTCCACCAATGATGGAATTGAACCAAACGTGTCACACAGYACTCACATGACCAACAGAATATACTGGAAGGGTTTAGTGGGCATTGACCTTGAGTTTGGGAGTTATAGTTCATCTGCATCCAGAGGGCACTGTGGACTCAATGATGGATCTAAACTTGGTACAAATTTTCCATATGCCCAAATATGAACACAGATGGAGTTTAGGGGAAATAGTCCTTGACATTTGGGAGTTGTAGTTACTAGGATTTATAGTTCACCTACAATCAAAGAACATTCTGAACCCCATGAATGACAGAATTGGGACAAACTTCCCACACAGAAACCCCATGATCAATAGAAAATATTTAAGGCCACCCAGTCCAACTCACTTCACTAGGGCAAGAAAACATAATCAATGCCCTACTGACAAAGAGCCATCCAGCCATAGATATAGATCAGGGTTTCTCAACTGGGGGTCGGGACCCCTGTGGGGGTCGCGAAGGGAAGTCAGTGGGGTCGCCAAAGACCAGCAGAAAACACAGTATTTTCTGTTGGTCATGAGGGGTTCTGTGTAGGAAGTTTGGCCCAATTCTATCGTTGGTGGTGTTCAGAATGCTCTTCGATTGTAGATTAACTATAAATCCCATCAACTACAACTCCCAAATGTCAAGGTCTATTTTCCCAAAACTCTACCAATATTCACATTTGGACATATTGAGTATTCATACCAAGTTTGGTCCAGATCCTTCATTGTTTGAGTCCACAGTGCTCTCAGGATATAGGTGAACTACAAGTCCAAAACTCAAGATCAATGCCCACCAAACCCTTCCAGTATTTTCTGTGGGTCATGGAAGTTCTGTTTGCCAAGTTTGGTTCAATTCTATCATTGGTGGAATTCAGAATGCTCTTTGATTGTAGGCGAACTATAAATCCCAGCAACTACAACTTCCAAATCACAAAATCAACCCCCTCCCAACCCTGCCAGTATACAAATTGGGTATTTCTGCCAAATTTGGTCAATTGAATGAAAATACATCCTGCATATGATATTTACATGACAATTCGTAACAGTAGCAAAATAACAGTTGTTAAGTAGCAACAAAAATAATGTTATGGTTGGGGGTCACCACAACATGAGGAACTGTATTCAGGGGTCGTGGCATTAGGAAGGTTGAGAACCACTGCTCTAGAACATGGCTCTATAGCCCGAAAAAACCCACAAGAACCTATAAATTGTATGATTTTAACTGTATTTGTGTTTAGATTGGCTGCAGTAATGCGGGAGCGGCCTAAGTCAGAGGAGTGCGTTGCCATGGAGACGATGCAGGAGAGAGCGAAGTGGGAGGAGGAGCTTAGAGGGGAGAGTTTGAAAAACGACAGTTAAAAATCAGTTAGGGTTTAGGTATAGAGGAGTGAGCAGTCAGGAGTTAAGATTTGAGGGTGAGGAGTTGGTAGAGGAAAGATTAGGAGGTTGTAGCTGAAAGAGAGTGAATTGTGAAGCAAAGTTTCGAGGCTTTGGAAAGCCAGATTAAGCTACTGGAAGTTTCTTAGGCTAGAGAGGCTGATAAGGGAAACATAACCAGTAAGGCAGTGGTTCTCAACCTTCCTAATGCCGCGACCCCTTAGTACAGTTCCTCACGTTGTGGTGACCCCCAACCATAACATTTTCATTGCTACTTCGTAACTGTAATTTTGCTAATGGAAATATCTGATATGCAGGATGTATTTTCAAATTCCAGATACCCAATATGCCCAAATTTGAATATTGGTGGGGTTGGGGACGGAGGATTGATTTTGTCATTTGGGAGCTGTAGTGGCTGGGATTTATAGTCCACCTCCAATCAAAGACATTCTGAACACCACCAATGATTAAATTGAACCAAACTTGGCACACAGAACTCCCATGCCCAAGAGAAAATACTAGGAGGATCTGGTGGGCATTGACCTTGAATTTTTGGAGTTGTAGTTCCTCTTCACTCTGGCCCAGAGTGGCAGTTGGTGCTGGAGGGAGGGGGTCCCTGACTGATGACATTTGCAGGAGACAAGATGGAAGTGTCCCCTGGTTCCCCCTCTCTTCACTCTGGCACAGAGAAGCAGTTGGTGCTGGAGGGAGGGGGTCCCTGACTGATGACATATGCAGGAGACAAGATGGAACTGTCCCCTGGCTCCCTCTCTCTTCACTCTGGCCCAGAGCGGCAGTTGGTGCTGGGGGAAGGGGGTCCCCGACTGATGACATATGCATGAGACAAGATGGAACTGTCCCCTTGCTCCCTCTCTCTTCACTCTGGCCCAGAGCGGCAGTTGGTGCTGGGGGGAGGGGCCCGACTGATGACATATGCAGGAGACAAGATGGAACTGTCCCCTGGCCCCCTCTCTCTTCACTCTGGCCCAGAGTGGCAGTTGGTGCTGGAGGGAAGGGGTCCCTGACTGATGACATTTGCAGGAGACAAGATGGAACTGTCCCCTGGCTCCCCCTCTCTTCACTCTGGCACAGAGCAGCAGTTGGTGCTGGAGGGAGGGGGTCCCTGACTGATGACATATGCAGGAGACAAGATGGAACTGTCCCCTGGCTCCCTCTCTCTTCACTCTGGCCCAGAGCGGCAGTTGGTGCTGGGGGAGGGGGTCCCTGACTGATGACATATGCAGGAGACAAGATGGAACTGTCCCCTGGCTCCCTCTCTCTTCACTCTGGCCCAGAGCGGCAGTTGGTGCTGGGGGGAGGGGGTCCCTGACTGATGACATATGCAGGAGACAAGATGGAACTGTCCCCTGCCCCCCTCTCTCTTCACTCTGGCCCAGAGCGGCAGTTGGTGCTGGAGGGAGGGGTCCCCAACTGATGACATATGCAGGAGACAAGATGGAACTGTACCCTGGCTCCCTCTCTCTTCACTCTGGCCCAGAGCGGCAGTTGGTGCTGGGGGAAGGGGGTCCCTGACTGATGACATATGCAAGGAGACAAGATGGAACTGTCCCCTGGCTCCCTCTCTCTTCACTCTGGCCCAGAGCAGCAGTTGGTGCTGGGGGAAGGGGGTCCCCAACTGATAACATATGCAGGAGACAAGATGGAACTGTCCCCTGGCCCCCTCTCTCTTCACTCTGGCCCAGAGCGGGTTGGTGCTGGGGGGAGGGGTCCCCAACTGATGGCATATGCAGGAGACAAGATGGAACTGTCCCCTGGCCCCCTCTCTCTTCACTCTGGCCCAGAGCAGCAGTTGGTGCTGAAGGGAAGGGTCCCCAACTGATGGCATATGCAGGAGACAAGATGGAACTGTCCCCTGGCCCCCTCTCTCTTCACTCTGGCCCAGAGCGGCAGTTGGTGCTGGGGGGAGGGGTCCCCAACTGATGACATATGCAGGAGACAAGATGGAACTATCCCCTGGCTCCCTCTCTCTTCACTCTGGCCCAGAGCGGCAGTTGGTGCTGGGGGGAGGGGTCCCCGACTGATGACATATGCAGGAGACAAGATGGAACTGTCCCCTGGCCCCCTCTCTTCACTCTGGCCCAGAGCGGTAGTTGGTGCTGGGGGAGAGGTCCCCAACTGATGATTTGCAGGAGACAAGATGGAAGTGTCCCCTGGTTCCCCCTCTCTTCACTCTGGCACAGAGAAGCAGTTGGTGCTGGAGGGAGGGGGTCCCTGACTGATGACATATGCAGGAGACAAGATGGAACTGTCCCCTGGCTCCCTCTCTCTTCACTCTGGCCCAGAGCGGCAGTTGGTGCTGGGGGGAGGGGGTCCCCGACTGATGACATATGCATGAGACAAGATGGAACTGTCCCCTTGCTCCCTCTCTCTTCACTCTGGCCCAGAGCCAGTTGGTGCTGGGGAGGGGGTCCCCAACTGATGACATATGCAGGAGAGGAACTGTCCCCTGGCCCCTCTCTCTTCACTCTGGCCCAGAGCGGCAATTGGTGTTGGGGGGAGGGGTCCCCAACTGATGACATATGCAGGAGACAAGATGGAACTGTCCCCTGACCCCCTCTCTCTTCACTCTGGCCCAGAGCAGCAGTTGGTGCTGGAGGGAGGGGGTCCCTGACAGATGACATATGCAGGAGACAAGATGGAACTGTCCCCTGGCTCCCTCTCTCTTCACTCTGGCCCAGAGCGGCAGTTGGTGCTGTGGGAGGGGGTCCCTGACTGATGACATATGCAGGAGACAAGAAGGAACTGTCCCCTGACCCCCTCTCTCTTCACTCTGGCCCAGAGCGGCAGTTGGTGCTGGGGGGAGTGGGTCCCTGACTTGATGACATATGCAGGAGACAAGAAGGAACTGTCCCCTGATCCCCTCTCTCTTCACTCTGGCCCAGAGCAGCAGTTGGTGCTGGGGGAGGGGTCCCTGACTGATGACATATGCAGGAGACAAGATGGAACTGTCCCCTGGCCCCTCTCTCTTCACTCTGGCCCAGAGCGGCAGTTGGTGCTGGGGAGAAGGGGGTCCCTGACTGATGACATATGCAGGAGACAAGATGGAACTGTCCCCTGGCTCCCTCTCTCTTCACTCTGGCCCAGAGCAGCAGTTGGTGCTGGGGGAAGGGGGTCCCTGACTGATAACATATGCAGGAGACAAGATGGAACTGTCCCCTGGCCCCCTCTCTCTTCACTCTGGCCCAGAGCAGCAGTTGGTGCTGGGGAGAGGGCCCTGACTGATGACATATGCAGGAGACAAGATGGAACTGTCCCCTAGCCCCCTCTCTCTTCACTCTGGCCCAGAGCGGCAGTTGGTGCTGGGGGGAGGGTGTCCCTGACTGATGACATATGCAGGAGACAAGATGGTCAGATAATGTGGTAAAAAATTATTTCTCTAGTTTACTTCACTTTTTAAAAGGCCATCATTTGCTGCCTGGAAATGTGTGATAGCTTCTCTCTTCTAAATGTTAATTCTGCTGTGGTTAGAAATAGTTTTTATAACGCAAAGGTAAATTTTTTGGACAGTCTGTCTTGTTCAATACAGTCCCACAGCATCTCTTCTTTTATCATGCAGGGAGTGAAGTAGCTGAAAGATGGTACAATGAAATAAACAATTACAACTTCCAGAACCCAGGATTTTCCTCTGGGACAGGTGAGTATGAGCTACACTTTCCTTATTTGGCAGCCCACAAAGGAGACCTTTCGAGGAAGGTCACTGGAGGTTTGGTCGCTGCAGAGAGAGTATTTCCTGGACTGTATCATCAGAAGTGAAGCTCCCATCTGTAGATGGTGAGGTCACTTTCTCCTTTGTCCAGCCAGTACCTCCGCCTCACCCTGGATTTGTCGGCTGCATACTCTTCCCTAGAAATAAGTGGGTTAAAAAGTGTTGTGCTCCCTTGAATGGAAGAGAATAAAAAAGCATGGTATTTCCCTGGGAAGAAGTGTGTTTAAAAATGGGAGATTCCTTGGGAAAAGTAAGTTAAAATTAGCATGGGGTTTCCCTGGAGAGAAATGAGTTCAAAAAGGGGGGGAAAGAGAATTGGTTAAAATTAAGAGGGATTTGGGAAAAGGTAAAAAAAAAAAAAAAGGCTGCACAGCCCACTGAAGAATTAAAGATAGATAAATGGCTAAACACAAGAGAAAAAGCAAGTAAAGTAACAGTGGCAAAAATATACAATTTAATGGTAGAAGATAAGGAATTTATGATTAGAGCAATACGTAACAAATGGAATGGGATTAAATCATTAAGGACACAAGAAAAAGAGGAAATATTTAGGAACATGAATAAAATAAAAACGGAAATATATAATGAATTAGAAAAAAGATGGTATTAAGATGGTATAGAACCCCTGGCTTATATGGTAAAAGGGATGAATTCAAAGTGTTGGCACTATAATAAAGAAAAAGGTACTTATTCACATATGTGGTGGGAGTGGTCTGAAATAAAACAATTCTGGCAAATGATACAAGCAAAAATGTAGGAGATATTGCAGATAAAAATTCAAATTAATAATGATTTGCTACTATGGGGAGTGTTGGATCACCCGAATATGTTAGGGCTGGGCAACCACGGAAAAATTTGTTTCTAAAATCGATTCGTTTTTTGGGGGTTTTTGCGTTTCAATTTTTAAAAGAATTCCGAAATTTTTCTTTTAAAAAGTTCGATATTTACAAAATTTAGTAAATTACGAAACAATACGAAACAATTACGAAACAATTACGAATCGATTCGTTAATGGCGGACGCGACCGCGCAATACGCTAAAAAACCTCCAAATGGGACAGGGGGAACTTCTGAAGCTTCCCTCTCCCTCTGTTGTTGACTGTTGGTGTGATATTTATAATCTTTTTTCACTGATTAAACAAACAACAACTATAAAACTTGCCCCAGACATGCGGAAATAATAACGAAACGATTTCAAAACGATAACGAAACGAATACAAAACGAATTCGAAACAATTACGGAACGAATTTAAAAATTCGTTTCGTTTTTTAATTGCTCCTGAATGGTTCGTTATCGCTTCGTTATTATAAAAAATAACAATTTTTTAACGAATTACAAAATTACGAAACGAAACCGCCCAGCCCTAGAATATATCAATCAATTACCAGGAGTTATTTAAAGTAACAATAAGAGCAGCACATGCGGTGATCGCTAGAGGATGGAAAGACAAATTGAAATGGACATTAAATAATTGGAATGATTATATGTATGATCAAGTGTTGTTAGATATTATGGGAATTATGACTAAGCAAGCAACAAGAACAGATAAACGAAATGACATTACAAATAGATGGAAAGTCTACTTCAACTGGGTGAAAAATGGAGGAGCCAACGATTACATCAAAGAAAAAATACAAATACTTCACCAGTGGCTGGATCTGCAAGATTAGTAGAAATATACTGTGGTTGAGGAGGGAGGGAGAGGTAGGGAAAAATCAGTGTAAACTAGCATAATGCCATTAATATTTGTAATATTGGTTCGCTCCTGGCACGGTAAATAAAATTGTTTGTTGAATTACTCGGTGTAGTAAATTTTATGATCTATGTTGTATTTTTGGTGTGTAGCTCTAGGTTACAATATGGCTGATAGGGAAGAATTGGCTCAAATAGGGTAGCAACAGTGAAGGCAGGATTAATTTGCATATGTGAAGCCGATTGGTCGTATGCAGATGAGAGTATGCCAGGATTTGAAAAGGCCGCTGAGCCAGAATGGCAGTTACAGAACTGAACATTCTAAAGGGGCGGAGTCAAGTTTGAAAGAAGCAGTTAGAGTTTGTCAGTTAAAAAAGAGAAGTGGGGAGCAGTTAGAAACCTCGGTTAGAGAGAAGCAGTCAGGAAAATAGAGCTCAAGGTTTAAGGAAAAATAAGAAGGCGTCAGTGTGGCCTAAGTCAGAAAATAGTTCAGCCAAGGGTATATGAAGAAAGTAACATATTTGTTGATGTGAGATAGTGAGGGTTTCATAAGAAAAGTTAACTGAGTGAATGATACTGAATGTAAGACTTGAGACTGTAACAAAACACAAATGTAACCATAAAGCATTGGAACCAGAAGCTATAAATAAACTTTGTTACTTTGTTGCTTACCGGAGTGTCTCAAGCATGTGATATAAAGCACAAAGGTTTAACAGCTCACAAGAAAGCCCCAGCCAATTTAAAAAGGAAACTGCAGCAGTACAAGGTGGTAAAGGGATTTAGAAAGGAAATTCTTTTCCCCTCACTGAGTCAAGAAGAAAGGCACTTGTAACAGGACAGAAACAGAGTACGTCCCAGGTATTAAAGTGGCGACAGAAAACTACATATGTGGTGTGGCATTACGTATTCAGTTATGTGCAATGTTATGCCCCACACTCGGGATTTATGCTTGTAACACTTGGAATATGGTTTGCTGATTTGTGTTTATACCATAATAATTAAAAAAAACATTGTGCCACCGGGGGCGGGCAGCTGCATTCCTTCAAGGTTTCCTGTAGGATTAATGTGGTTCCTTAACCTTCCACAGTTGCTAAGCCTTGCTTTAATTCATTCTCTTGCTTCAAACTACAAGAGAGGAGATTCCATCTGAACATTAGGAAGAACTTCCTGACTGTGAGAGCCATTCGGCAGTGGAACTCCTTCTTTAGAAGCTTTTAAGCAGAGGCTGGATGGCCATCTGTCAGGGGTGATTTGAATGCAATATTCCTGCTTCTTGGCAGGGGGTTGGACTGGATGGCCCATGAGGTCTCTTCCAACTCTTTGATTCTATGATTCTATGATTCTATTGTATCTCTTCTCCTGAAATCTAATAATTTGACATCTCTTTCATGATGCTCGGGCTATTTCCAAACCCTTGTGTGAAATTAATACATTTGATTTGGGCCTTTTCTTTCAGGACACTTCACAGCAATGGTTTGGAAGAGCACCAAAAAGATGGGAGTTGGAAAAGCAGCAGCGAGTGACGGCTCCACCTTTGTGGTGGCCAGATATGTACCTGCTGGCAATATTGTAAACCCTGGCCAGTATGAACAAAATGTTCTTCCTCCAAAGAAATAACTCAGTCATGTGACAGAACAGAGGACTACTTTCAACAACCAAGAAAAAGCAAAACTGGGGAACTGATTGCATTAGATTGGACAGACCTTTAAGTTGAAATGAAGTCAGATGGTATCCTGTGCTTGCAAACAATATTTAGAAGAGAATTGCACAACTTTTTTTTTTGCCCTGAGGAGTGCATCTGGTTTTGGTTGAGGGGAGGTGTTTGCTTCTTCTCCCCAACCCACAAATAAGCCTGTATGTATTGTCGAAGGCTTTCATGGCTGGAATCACTAGGTTCTTCTTCTCCATGGCTCATGAGTTCTTCTTCTCCATGGAGAAGAAGAACTCAACAGGTTCCTGGACCATCTTAACAGCATCCACCCAAACATCCAGTTCACCATGGAAAAAGAAAATGAAGGAAGACTGCCTTTTCTAGATGTCCTAGTCATCCGCAAACCAGATCAACAATTGGGTCACACCATCTACAGAAAACCCACACACACAGATAGATATCTACATAAAAACTCCAACCATCACCCAAGTCAAAAAAGAAGCACCATTAAAGCCTTGGCAGATCGTGCAAAAAGAATCTGCGAACCCCACCTCCTCCAAGATGAACTGAACCACCTCAACTGGGCTCTCCAGGCCAATGGATACTCCACCTCAGACATCAGAAGAGCTGCAAGACCAAGAACAAGCCACGAGAGTAAAGATGAAGATCCACCCAGAGGAAAAGTGTTCCTGCCATACATCAAGGGAACCACTGACCACATAGGGAAGCTGATGAGGAAACACAACATACAAACAATCTACAAACCCACCAAGAAAATCCAACAAATGCTACGTTCAGCAAAGGACAAGAGGGATCTCTCACCTCTGCAGGAGTCTACCGTATACCATGCAGCTGTGGACAAGTCTACATAGGGACCACCAAACGCAGCGCCAGACACGAATCAAGGAACATGAAAGGCACGGCAGACTCCTTCAACCAGAGAAGTCAGCCATAGCAGAGCACCTGATGAACCAGCCTGGACACAGCATATTATTTGAGAACACAGAAATGCTGGACCACTCCAACAACCACCATGTCAGACTACACAGAGAAGCCATTGAAATCCACAAGCATGTGGACAATTTCAACAGAAAAGAGGAAGCCATGAAAATGAACAAAATCTGGCTAACAGTATTAAAAAACTCTAAAATTACAACAGCAAAACAACAGAGAGAAACAACCAGGCACAGATTAACACCTCCCAGCAAGAGATTTTCCCAGGCTCAGGCAGGCCTTCAAATGCTAATGAAGGTGATCAGTTGAAACATTCACACCTAGCTGCAGCAGGGAAGAGCTCTTTGCCCCACCCCAGCCATTCCACAGATATATAAACCCATTGTCCTAATTCCAACAGACCTCACTACCTCTGAGGATGCTTGCCATAGATGCAGGCGAAACGTCAGGAGAAATGCCTCTAGAACATGGCTCTATTGCCCGAAAAAACCCACAAGAACCTAAGCCTATATGGTTACAAATATCCCCTCTCTTGTGCTGTAGACTACTTGTTTCCAACAGCCTTCCATCCATCTCCACTGAGATCACTATTTTTCTCCTTATGATAGCAGCTGAAAACTAAGCAGTCTCTAAAGCAAGGGAATTTGTCTTCGGTTTCTGGGTTGTTGTAGGTTTTTTCGGGCTATATGGCCATGTTCTAGAAACATTCTCTCCTGACGTTTCACCTGCAACTATGGCAAGCATCCTCAGAGGTTGTGAGATCCTCTGAGGATGTCTTGGATTTTTTTTTATTACAGCCAAGTTGATCAGGGGAAATTGAACAGGGGCTTCACAGGGAATGGCTAGTGGATTTCTATCACTTTCTACAGAGAAAGCAACTTCAGACATGCTTACGTCAGAAGCAACCCCATCTGCACCATCAAAATGCACTTTTTGTATGGAACCAGTGCTAAGGTACAGAGGAGCTGCTTCAAGCAAAATGGGGAATGTGCAAAAAGTTTATATAAATGTTTTTAAAGTTCTGCATTTCTGCAGGGTTCATTTTCAAAATCCATTTGTAACATTCGAGTTATACCAAAATGTTGTAATTTTAAGATTATTATTTTAATCTGTTTAGATGTTCCAACATTTTAAACTAAGCCACCAATGTGGGACTAATGTTTTTTTGCAGTGAAGTCTTAACTTTAAGGATTCTCTTTCAAACTCTGCCATTGTGTGACATATATTCCACGTGGAAAAAATAGTGGACATTTTACATAGCACTGGAGAGAACAGTAAGCGGAAACGACATTAACATTATTATTATTATTTCTCGCAATTCTATCCTGTCCTTCTCAGCCCCCGAAGGGAGACTCAGATCGGCTTACAATGGGCCCCATTCCGAAGCCACTACATAACAAATTACAAATTAAAACCACTATCTATATAAATAAAAATGTAATGTTAGTTTGTGGTATTCACAGAACTCAAAAACCACTGGCGCAATTGGCACCAAATTTGGACACGATACACCTAACAACCCAATGTATGTTCTTCACTAAAAAAAATGATTTTGTCATTTGGGAGTTGTAGTTGCTGGGATTTACAGTTCACCTACAATCAAAGAGCATTCTGAACCCCACCAACGATGGAATTGAACCAAACTTGGCACACAGTTCCCCCATGACCAACAGAAAATACTGAAAGGGTTTGGTGGACAGTGTCCTTTGGTTTTGGAGTGATAGTTCACCTACATCCAGAGAGCACTGTGGACTCCAACAATGATGGATCTGGACCAGACTCGACACGAATACTCAATATGCCCAAATGTGAACACTGGTGGAGTTTGGGGAAAATAGAATCTTGACATTTGGGAGTTGCCGTTGCTGGGATTTATAGTTCACCTACAATCACAGAGCACTCTGAACCCCACCAACGATAGAATAGGGCCAAAGCTCCCACACAGAACCCCTATGTGGGCCACAGCAACACGTGGCAGGGGATGGCTAGTTAGACATAAAAGCATAATTAACAATACATAAGGCATTGTTAAAACCAGGCCTGTAGCGAGGGGAGGGGGCTAGGGGTTCAACCCCCCCCCCCGAAAATTTTCAGGTTTTAAAAATAAACCTGGTTTACTCATGAATTTTAACTGGTTAACCAAATCCCCATGCTAAGTCTATGAGACGCAAAAAAAATTAAGAGTCCCTCCAGAACTGCAAGCACTATCTCAAGCAAATATTGACAATTTATTCACACTGTCATTACTTGCAGCAATAGCCGATGTAGTGAAGCAACCAAGTGGGGGGGGGGGGGTGGTGAATGCTCTCATTAAGGAGGCCAGACTTGGTGGAGGTGGTTGACAGGGGCGGAGCTGCAGGCTATTGAAGGCTGCTCTGCCCCTGCTGTGCTCTTTGCTTCAGCGTGAGCTAGAAGGCAGGGTTCAACCTCCCCCCCCCCGAAATTTTCAACACCCCCCCCCCAAATTTTCAAACCCCCCCCAATTTTCAACCCTCCCCGAAATTTTTTTCTGGCTACGGCCCTGGTTAAAACAGTAAAAGAGTCTCATCAGCCATGGTATGCTGTCATCATGAAACATTTTCCAGTTAGTTGGAATCTGAATTCAATCTAGGATTCGTATAATATATCAATAGTACTTGACAACATTTTAGTACACAATTTTATATCTATATATATATAAATGCTCTGTGCGTAATGAGTACCTTAAAAACAAGAGAACAAATGAACAAAATCACACCAAATTTGGCAACAAAACGTCTCACAACACAAGGAGTGGCCATCACTGAAAAATTATGATTTTGTCATTTGGGAGTTGTAGTTGCTGGGATTTATAGTTCACCTATAATCAAAAAGCATTCTGAACTCCACCAACGATGGAATTGAACCAAACTTGGCAGACAGGACTCCCCTGACCAACAGAAAACACTAGAAGGGTTTGGTGGGTATTGAGTTGAGTTTTGGAATTGTAGTTCACCTCCATCCAGAGAACACTGTGGACTCAAAACAATGATGGATCTGGACCAAACTTGACAGGAATACTCAATATGCCCAAATGTGAACAAAGAAGGAGTTTGGGGGAAAATAGACCTTGACATTTGGGAGTTGTAGTTACGGGGATGTATAGTTCACCTACAATCAAAGAGCATTCTGAATCCCACCAACAATAGAATTGGGCCAAACATCCCACACAGAACCCCCATGGCCAACAGAAAATACTGTGTTTGCTGGTGGTCTTTGGTGACCCTTCTGATAAACCCTTGGTGACCCCCCCCCCTTCCGGGTCTTGACTTCCCAGGTTGAGAAATGCTGCCTTAAAGCCACCCAGTCCAACTCCCTTCACCAGGGCAAGAAAACATAATCAAAGACATAATGAGATATTGACAAGCTGGAATGTGTCCAGAGGAGGGCGACTAAAACGATCAAGGGTCTGGAGAACAAGCCCTGTGAGGAGCGGCTTAAGGAGCTGGGCATGTTTAGCCTGAAGAAGAGAAGGCTGAGAGGAGATATGATAGTCATGTATAAATATGTGAGAGGAAGCCACAGGGAGGAGGGAGCAAGCTTGTTTTCTGCTTCCCTGGAGACTAGGACGCGGAACAATGGCTTCAAACTACAAGAGAGGAGATTCCATCTGAACATGAGGAAGAACTTCCTGACTGTGAGAGCCGTTCAGCAGTGGAACTCTCTGCCCCAGAGTGTGGTGGAGGCTCCTTCTTTGGAAGCTTTTAAACAGAGGCTGGATGGCCATCTGTCAGGGGTGATTTGAATGCAATATTCCTGCTTCTTGGCAGGGGGTTGGACTGGATGGTCCATGAGGTCTCTTCCAACTCTTTGATTCTATGATTCTATGAAAAGGAGTTGAACTAGATGGCTCACACACACACACACACACACACACACATATGTATATGACAGATGCAGTATCAAAGATTTGAAAGGGACCTCTAAAGAAGGACAATGATACGTTGCATGTTCCAGAGTAGGCAAACCAGACAATCTCTACATCAACACAACAACACAAGCATAAAGACATTACATAGATTAGAAACCAACACTTTCTCATTACTTTATATTCCAGATCACTAGACTGGGCCACAGCAACACGTGGCAGGGGATAGCTAGTTCATTATAGAAATGGAGATGAGCACCACACCCCAGAGTCGGACACTACTGGACTTAATGTCAGGGGAAAACCTTTACCTTTACTATAGTCACTCAACGCATGTATGCTAGAGGTTTTCTTTGTACTCTCAGAACATTTTCTATGGGAGTACAAAGAAATAATAAAATGCAGATAAAGAATCCAGGTTCCTGAGGGTCTCCACATCAAACCAAATCAAGCATAGCTTTGGTAGTGCCCACAACTCTGGTGGGGCAGTAACAACCCATATACAACATATTTAGGAGATAGATCAGTATCCAAGTCTTGTGCAGCCTGAATTCTGACTGCTGGGGTAAGAAAGAGCACATTGGGATCTTTAAGGTTTACCTTCCACTACCAGGATGTGGATCACACCATGAGCCTTTAAGCCTTTGTGGAAATGAATCCCACAAATTCCACACCTTATGCCTTTGTGAATATTCAATCACTGTGTTTCTGAAAACAACACATGAACATTTAAAGCCATCTTAAGTCAGATGGCAGTTGCTATAAAGACTGAAAACCTCATCAAAACAAATCCATTTGTTGTTCGAAGTAACATTTCCACCAGTGCCATTAACCAGGAATCTTAGAAGTCATTAGCAATGTTGAGCATTAGGCATGTGCAATCCATGGTTCTAAATCAGGGGTCCTCAAACTTTTTAAACCGGGGGCCAGTTCACTG